GATACTTTGGCTACTGGTGGGGATTTATTGCAGCAGGAAGCAGAGAGAAAGAGTGGTAAAGAAAAGAGGAAGAAAGGGTTTGGGAAGAGAGAGACTAATTCATTTCTTCCCATCTTCAGAGAGCCAAGTAGTATCGAAAAGATCTTGGGAGAGGCTGAGAGAGATCACAATCTTGTGTTTAGGCCTCCTACTCCTCCTGATAGATCAAATCCATCTTCAGCTTCTCCTCCTCCGAGGCCTGCTTCTCCTCGGGTTCCTTCTCCAAGACCAACTTCTCCTAGAGTTGCTTCACCACGAGCCGCTTCTCCAAAGCCTCCGTCTCCAAGAGCAGAACTTCCAAGATTGGATTCACCGAGATCTCTTTCACCAAAGCCCCGTGATCGATCAAAGCCATCATCAACCTCTGCCAATGCTCCTCCTCCTCTTAGGCCTGCTTCTACTCGAGTTCATTCTCAGAGAATTGCCCCTCCAATTCTTCCTCCTCCAAGACCAATTTCACCAAGAGTTGCCTCTCCACAAGTCGTCACTCCAAAGCCGCCTTCTCCTAGAGCAGAGCCACCAACATTGGAAACTCCAAGACCTCCTTCGCCAAAGCCTCCTTCTCCAAGAGCAGAGCCACCAAGGTTGGATTCTCCAAGACCTCCTTCGCCAAAGCCTCCTTCTCCAAGAGCAGAACCACCAAGATTGGATGCCCCAAGACCCACTACGCCTAAGCCCCCTTCTCCAAGATCAGTTTCGCCTAGGGCCGTGCAACGACGGGAGATTGTTTATAGACCAGAGCCCACTCTCTTGGTCCAACATGCGTCTGCAACAAAGATTCAAGCAGCTTTCAGAGGTTACACGGTAGTATACACATTCTTTGTTTCTGTTTCAAGATTTGTCCATTACTCTAGCCTCCATTTCCATGACAAGAAAGTTGTTGATTTATGTGAAACAGGGAAGGAGGAGTTTCAGAGCTCTCAAAGGTCTAGTCAGGCTTCAAGGGGTGGTGAGAGGACACAGCGTGAAGCGGCAGACGATAAATGCAATGAAGTACATGCAGCAATTGGTCCGTGTTCAATCCCAAATCCAGTCACGTCGGATCAGAATGTTGGAACACCGAGCCCAGGTTGAGAAAGATGAAGCAAAATGGGGTGCGTCTGAAGCTGGAAGCGATGATTGGGATGACAGTGTGCTGACAAAAGAAGAAAGGGATGCGAGATCGCAGAGGAAAATTGATGCGATCATCAAGAGAGAACGGTCCATGGCCTATGCATATTCTCACAAGGTAAACACTCGATCTTTCTTCATATTCATCACCATGTTGATGCAGCTTATATCTGGTTTGTGCCAACATCTTTCGCTCTGTGTGCAGTTGTGGAAAAACAGTCCAAAGTCTGCTCAAGACATTCGTACTTCAGGTGGGCTCCCTCTATGGTGGAACTGGGTGGACCGGCAGCTTCCTCTTGCTAGTCCTGCACCGAGCTATAGCCAACCACTAAGAGATTACAGGCTAACACCATCAAGACTGAGCCCAAGCCCTCTGTCTCATTCAAGCAACCAACACCGTTTCAGGCTTGACAACAACTTCGACACTTCCACACCGAGATCTTCGAGGTCAACACTTCTTACTCCATCCAGACCCATCCGCACGGGCACATCAAGATACTCAAGAGGAAGACTAAGAGGTCAAGATTCTCCTTTCAAAGATGATGACAGCCTCACAAGCTGCCCTCCATTCCCGAGCTACATGGCTCCAACGGTCTCTGCCAAGGCGAAAGTTAGACCAACCAGCAATCCAAAGGAGAGAGTGATGGGTACACCAGTGAGTAACGAGCAGAGGAGAATGTCGTTTCCCCCGATGCAACAAGGTGTGGATACATTTAAGTGGAACAAAGGGACATTGCTTATGAGCAACAGCAGCAATTACAAGGGTCCTGGTTCACCTGGAGGTGTGGTTCTTGAGAAGCACAAGACACTTAAATCAGTAGGAAATTTGAGCATTGATTCATCTGCTTCAGTAGGTGGGAAAAAAGCTTTTAACAGATTTGTGTGATTTCTTTTGATGAAAACCCTTTTTTCTCTTTATTACTTTTGCTTCATTTGTGTTGATTTTGAGTGCTTTTGTAATCTGGATTTATGAATTGCGAGGTTGTAACTTGATGATTTAAAAGGAAACAAAACAATAACAGGATTTGGATTTGCATAAAGAACTTTTTAAGAGCCGATTATTATAGTCGGAGCTGCCAATACAAAAGAACAGAAACCAATGGTCCAATTGGTCTCCACCACTCTCCAACGATACTTAGTTCGCCGGCTAATCGGGAGACATTTGCCGGAAATGAATCACAGGCGACGAGATTTCCTAAATTCGCGACTAAGGAAAGATGAAGATAAGACAAGTATCAGAAGGAGGCAGAAGAAACCATTCAACCAACGACGGCGGCGAGAATGCCCGGATGTTTAACCGGCGGTTGACGGCAACGAAACCCTTAAACTCTGGTTTTTTTCTTTTTTAATTATTTCGTTTAATCAATTTGTTCTTTGGTCCTTCATGTATTCTCAAATATATGTTTTTGCCTCAAACATTAGTTTTTCCTCCTTGGCTTCTCTCTTAGCTCCGGTAAACTCCAAACGGAAGTGAACATGAGATCATGTTTGTAAAATAAAGATTGATGTCTCAGAGATTTGATAAAAATAAAATTCTCATGTTAAGACTTTGACTGTGTAGTGAAACAGATGTCGTAACTGTATATGCAGACTCAACTAAACAACATTATCTGTGATCTTTCTCGGTCGAAGATTTTGAGTTCTAAGAAACTTGAGATTTTTAATACTTTGTTTGACCAGCTCTTTGGTGCTTAGATGATCCATGGATGATTTGGACACCATTGACTTGGTTAATTAGTTTATTTCACACACTTTCTCTGCAATAATTATGTAGCTCTCTGATTTAAAAAGTATTTCTAGCTAGTTCATGTGTTTCTTGTATCTAAAGTCGTTAGTAGACTTTAAAGGTATAAAGACACAACACAAACTATAAAAAAAATCATCCCTTGTAAAACGCTTAATCAATCAATCTATGATCATGTCTCGTGTAATTAACTGGGGTTGGTTCTTGAGATCCTTACTCTTTCCTGTTGCATTGAAAACTCTCACGAGCTGGTTTTGGAAGGATCCGCCGGTTTAATGAATGGTTTCCTGACGCTGACGAACACCAAGAAGCACTCTTATGGTCAAGTCTTCAACGATGAGCCATTGCTATTCAAGAATTCCACGAATGGTACTGTGACTTCTTTTTCTATCACCTTCTTCTTTGCTATTACCCCTGAGCATAAGAACAAAGGCTCTCACGGTATGGCCTTTGTGATCTCTCCCACGAGAGGCATTCCCGGTGCATCTGCTGATCAGTACCTCGGTATCTTCAACGATACAAACAATGGAAAAAGCTCTAACCAGATCATTGCCGTGGAGCTCGATATACATAAAGATGATGAATTTGGTGACATTGATGATAACCATGTTGGTATCAACATAAATGGAATGAGGTCTATTGTATCTGCTCCTGCTAGTTATTATGATCATGAGGGTCAATTGAGAAATCTTTCCTTGATCAGTGGAGATCCAATTCGAGTCACTATTTTGTATAGCCAGGAAGAGAAACAGCTTAGTGTCTTCCTATCACCAGCTGAGAAGACTAATCTCTTGAAGCGGCCGCTTCTTTTGCTGGACCAAGATTTGTCACCTTATCTGTTAGAGGAAATGTATGTCGGCTTTGCAGCTTCCACGGGATCGGTTGGAGCAATACATTACTTGTGGACGTTTTATGTCTTTCTATCCTCTGCGGTTCCAAATCTGGACTTCTTCATACCCAAGTTTCCTACATATCCGAAGTCAGAGTCTCAGGTAAAGCGGACTGTTCTGGTGACCTGCTTGACGTTGGCTCTTTTTGTCGCGCTGGCTACATCAGCTTTCAGTCTCTTCTTCTATAGGAGGCACAAAAAGGTTAAGGAAGTACTAGAGGAATGGGAGATCCAGTGTGGGCCTCACAGGTTTGCTTACAAGGAACTCTTTCAAGCCACAAAGGGTTTCAAAGACAAACAACTTCTAGGCAAAGGAGGGTTCGGTCAAGTCTTTAAGGGCACACTTCCAGGTTCCGATGCCGAGATTGCCGTTAAACGAATTTCTCATGATTCAAGACAGGGAATGCATGAATTCTTGGCGGAGATATCAACAATTGGGAGGCTTAGACACTCGAACCTAGTCAGGCTTCAAGGTTATTGTAGGTACAAGGAGGAACTCTACTTGGTTTATGACTTTATGCCCAATGGAAGCCTTGACAAGTACCTCTACCGTAGAGCGAATCGAGAGCAACTCACTTGGGACCAACGTTTCAAGATCATCAAAGATATAGCCTCTGCGCTTTGCTATCTGCATCACGATTGGGTACAAGTTGTAATTCATCGGGACATCAAGCCGGCAAATGTCTTGATTGACCACCAGATGAATGCAAGGCTCGGGGATTTCGGACTAGCCAAGTTGTACGATCAGGGTTTTGATCCTCAGACATTTAGTGTAGCTGGAACGTTTGGGTACATTGCGCCCGAGCTCATAAGAAGCGGAAGAGCGACCACAGGGACAGACGTCTATGCCTTTGGGCTGTTTATGCTGGAAGTCTCCTGCGGTAGAAGGCTGATAGAGCCACGAGCAGCCACCAATGAGGTTGTACTTGCAGAGTGGACATTAAATCGCTGGGAAAATGGAGATATTCTCGAGGCAGCCAATGAAAGACTCTGCGAAGAACACAATAGAGAACAAGTCGAGCTTGTTTTGAAACTGGGAGTGCTATGTTCGCACCAGGCCGCAGGAGTTAGACCAGACATGTCTAAAGTGGTCCGTATCTTGAACTGTGATTCGCAACTTCCGGATAATTTACTCGATATTGTCAAAGCTGAAAATGTCAGAATGTGGTCTGAGACATCTGAGAGAGTACTTGATGTTCCAACATCACAGGGGTCTATCGGTACCTTGACGTTTACAGAACCTTTCACTTCTCACGGACGCTGAAAGGTGATGTCAAGGTCCGTTGTTAAATAATATATGACATGTTGCTCTATAAATATCCTCTGTTGTTTATTGTACTGAATGTATTGTGTGGTTCATGTTCTCCTTAAGTTGGTTGTAACAATGCGAATTTGTATGTCCATAGTTTATCTTGGACTTGGTTTGATAAGATAATATATATTTTCCTTTACAAGTCTGTAGTGAATAGGTCATAACTCTCTATAAGCAGGCTCGACCTATTTCTCAATGTTGATTTATAATATTATCTTTTGGCAGAACCATAATTAAGTACGTTTGCTTGACTTAGCTCTTTGTTTCTTTGAAAATCCATGGAGGTTTTAGACACCATCAACTGAGATTAATTAAATGATTTCAGATGTAACTCTCTGCTATAAATCTTCCCAGGTCTTGACTAGTTCATATGTTTCTTGTCTCTGCAGTTTAAGTTTACTTTCTCAAACATATAAACTGGTTTATTAATTGATTTTGAGGCCATTGACTCTGCAACTTGTAGCGAACTCTCTGATTTTAATCGTTGCAGGTTTGGAATAGTTCATGTGTTTTGTTGTGGCTTAGTTGACTTTGATCGTTCCCTCCACGATATAAATGACAACGGAAACTAACTAATCTCTTATGATCATGTCTCGTAAAATCGTCTCACATGTGGTTTTCTTGATCCTTGCTCTGTTCTGTTGTACTGAAAACTCTCATGGCAAGCTGATTATGCAGGGATCCGCTGGATTTTTCAAAGGTTTCCGGACGTTGACGAGCACCAAGAAGCACGCCTATGGTCAAGCCTACTATGACCGGGTACTCCGATTCAAGAATCCCGCGAACGGTGCAATGACTTCGTTCTCTGTCACTTTCTTCTTTGCTATTTCCCCTGAGGATAGGCACAAAGGCTCTCACGGTATGGCCTTCGTGATCTCTCCCACTAGAAGCATTACTGGTTCTTCCGCGGATCAGTACCTCGGACTCTTTAATGAAGCAAACAACGGGAATAGCTCGAATCATGTCATCGCTGTGGAGCTCGATACAAATAAAGATGATGAATTTGGCGACATTAACGATAACCATGTTGGTATTAACATAAATGGAATGAGGTCTATTGTATCTGCTCCTGCTGGTTACTATGATCAAGAGGGTCAATTCAGAAATCTTTCTTTGATCTGTGGAAAGCTACTCCGAGTCACGATCTTGTACAACGAGAAGAAGAAACAGCTTAATGTCACCTTATCATCACCAGACGAGGATTATTACCCGAACCAGCCGCTTCTTTCTCTGAACCAAGATCTGTCACCCCTTTTTTTGGAGGAAATGTATGCAGGCTTCTCAGCATCAACGGGGTCGGTTGGAGCAATGCATTACATGTGGATATGGTTTATCAATCCCTACCTTACTGTCCCAAGCCTGAGCTTTGGGATACCGACATTTCCTCCATATCCCAATGCAAAATCTCTGGTAAACCGGATTGTTTGGTTGTCCATCTTGGCATTGGCTATATTTGTTGCGCTTGCTGCATCAGCTTTAAGTTTCATCTTCTATAGGAGACACAAAATGGTTAAAGAGGTTCTAGAGGAATGGGAGATTCAATGTGGACCTCATAGGTTTGCTTACAAAGAACTCTTTAAAGCCACAAAGGGTTTTAAACAACTTCTAGGCAAAGGAGGTTTTGGTCAGGTCTTTAAAGGTACAATTCCAGGTTCTGCTGCAGAGATTGCTGTTAAACGGATCTCTCATGATTCAAGACAAGGGATGCAGGAATTCTTGGCTGAGATATTGACAATTGGTCGGCTTAGACATCCAAACCTAGTGAGGCTTCAGGGTTATTGTAAGAACAAGGAGGAACTTTACTTGGTTTATGATTTTATGCCCAGTGGAAGTCTTGACAAGTACCTCTACCGTAGAACGAATCAAGAGCAACTCACTTGGGATCAACGTTTCAAGATCATCAAAGATGTAGCCACTGGGCTCTGCTATCTGCATAACGATTGGGTACAAGTTGTAATTCATCGAGACATCAAGCCAGCAAATGTCTTGATTGACCACCAGATGAATGCAAGGCTCGGCGATTTCGGATTAGCCAAGTTGTACGATCAGGGTTTTGATCCTCGGACATCTACAGTGGCTGGAACGTTTGGGTACATTGCGCCCGAGCTCATAAGAAGTGGAAGAGCAACCACAGGGACAGACGTCTATGCGTTTGGGCTGTTTATGCTGGAAGTATCTTGCGGTCGAAGGCTGATAGAGCCACGAGCAGCCGCCAATGAGATGGTACTCGTGGAATGGACATTAGATCGCTGGGAAAACGGAGATATTCTCGAGGCAGCCAATGAAAGATCCCGCCAAGAACACAATAGAGAACAACTCGAGCTTGTTCTGAAACTGGGAGTGGTTTGTGCGCACCAGGTTGCAGCAGTTAGACCGGACATGTCTAAAGTGGTCCGGATCTTGAACGGCGATTCACAGCTTCCGGGTAATCTGCTGGATATTGTCTTGGCCGAGAGGGTCAGAATGTGGTCTGAGACATCTAATGTTGTTCCTTCACATGAGTCCATCCGCACCTTGACATTTACAGAACCTTTCACTTCTCACGGACGCTGAAACGTGATGTCGAGGTCGGTTGTGAA